TCGCAAAACCATAAAGACATCAAATATCCGACCGGTTGTCGAGACATCAACGAAGAACTGCCCACCGATGACCTCATCAGAAGGTATGCCACACAACCGCATGACTGCCTAATCACTGCACCGCCGATGACTTGTTATCTGTCATTTGATCCGATGAGCGCTCTTTGAGTCACTTTTAAAGTCAATGATTTATGACTTAATTGGCGCTCAAATCAAGCACTCATTCATTGATTTCAATGACATTTATATTGAAATTATTATTACATTTGATTTGATATTTAATTTAGATATCAATGTATTTGTCGTACAATTTATGTCATTTAGTGAGGCATTGAAATGAGCACTGGTTTTGCCATTGAAATTAGTTTGCCATGTATTGACACAATTGTAACCGTTATTTCAATAATTACAATTGATCTAGCACATTTATTCATCCAATATTCAAACTGTTCAATTTACAGTAAACACTAGATAAAAGTTATAATTGTAATTAACAGTTAGTTAACACTTTTAAACAAGTTATACATTTTGATAGAAATACATTACAAGATAGCAGTTATGGCTTGAATTAAGCGTTGGTTACTATAATTGCAATATTTAATGTCAAATTGTTATTCAAATGATTGACAATATGTTTGTGTTGATTGAATTAGACTGAAGGACATAGCGATGGCATACCAGCAAATGTCTCAGGAGGAAGACAACAGCAGTTTTATACCATTGGCTCTCTATCTGTGTATGAAAATTATGATAATAACTAAAAGCTTATCATGAATTAAGTTAATGTTAACCATATATATAGCGAGCGATTACTTTCTGGAGCACCCGTCCCGCGATGTGCGGCTTCTGGTCGCCTGTGCCATCGCCGACGTGTTCCGTGTGTACGCACCCAACGCTCCCTATCAACACCCGGAGCTCATCAAACATATATTTCTCTTCTTTATTCAACAGTTAAAAGTATATGATTTAAACATTTGGTTGTTATGATTGGCTTTTGATTGATTTGTTTGTCATTTTATTTACAAAAAGGGATTACAAGATCCAAAAGACGCCACTTTTAAGCGCTATTTCTATCTCTTGGAGGTAATGAATGATAACTATTTGAACAATGAATTTAAGTACTAATGATTGAATGGATTGAGCAGAACCTGGCGTGGGTTAAGTCGTTCAACATATGCATCGAACTCGAAGACTCGCAAAGTATTTTTGCCCAATTGTTTTCATTGATATTTAAGGTTTGCATCAATTGTGAGACTTTGAATGAATAGTTTTTGTTGACAACTCTTTGGCTGATGTGATGAATAGATTGTGAATGAGAACCACAGCGACAAAGTGAAGAACTTTATGCTGGATATGTTGACACCATTGATCATAGAAGCGGATACCGTCTCATCGAAACTGATTGAGATAATTCTGTGGCACATAATTGATCCCAAGAAGACAATGAACAAACAGGCAAATTGGTTGGCCGTTCAGATCTTGAAGAAGACTAACAAAACTATGGAACCATATCTGGTGTCGTATTTCACGAATGCCATCACTCATGGCATCGATGATAACGCCGGCGATATTGACGGCGACGAAGAGACGAGTGCTGTTGTCTACCAAAAGCCGGCCG